TGGACTTTAAAAAAAAAAACCCCCTAAATTGTGAAATTGGTCTTACCTGTGAATTTACCTTTAGAATGCAAATACTGTAATGCACATACTATTTCAGCAGAGTAGAATCTAGTGCACAAATTATTTGTAATTATGTTCCGGCCCCCTGACCATCCGCTCAAGAAAACAACAAAAAACAGCCTGCGACTGAATCTAGTTGATGATCCCTGGTGTAGGGTACTTTCCACTCCAGACACCTGCCACGGAAGGCAGTGCTCCAACAACACCATGACAAAACTATAAACCACAGAAACCAGAAGGGTATGTCCCTTTGCACATAGAAATGTACAATTTAGAAGAAAACAGCTCTTACTGCAAAAGTTGACTTTTATCAATATATATATTTCGGCTCTATTTACTCTCAGATTCAAAAATGCTAAGTAGCAGCAAAGTACACATCATGCAAAACTACAAATCCCTGCAAGCTCCTGCACAGCATCTCTAGCTGACGCCTTTGCTAACAGGTATTGTGTCAATTTAAAACGTACACAAAACAATTCACAGAATTGTCCATTTAAAGAAATGTAGCCAATTTATTAATTACTACATTTAACTAACATTAGATAGTTAATCCAGAGATTCTTACCTTTGCTTCGATTCGGCAGTCTCGTCCAGATCATCATGGCATTTGTAGTTCTTTATGTTTGCCACATTAGCAGCTAATTAGCGTTTCATTTATTTATTTATTATTATTATTTATTTTTTGATTTTTTTTTGGGGGGGGGGGGGGGGGGGGGGGGGGGGGGGGGGGGGTTAATCCAGGTGAATATATTGATAAAAGTCACCTTGTCCTAGAGAGATCTCCACCGTTATCAAAATATCACACCAGGGTAAGCCTACACAAAACAAAGCACTTATTTTAAGTATTTCTAAAATTCACTATGGGAAAATTGAATGGTGGAAAAACAATTGACCGCTAGGTTTTATGGCTATTATGGCTGTGGTACTCTATGACCCTATAATATTACAGCTCTCAGGAGGACTGTAGCCTTCTGTATGTGTGTGGGTAATTGGCCTACATCAGGGATCATCAACTAGATTCAGTCCTGGGCTGTTTTTTTTTTTCTTGAGCAGATGGTCAGGGGGCTGGAACATAATTACAAATAATTTGTAGACAAAAAATGTACCGCAAGAAGCCCAAACAGATATATTTGACTAAAACATAATCATTTCAAACCTTGCTTACGATCACATACAGTATATCTCGCTATTATGCGTGGGAATACTTTGGAACAGATTTCCAAAATTAAAATCACTTGGAGCTGATTTGCTTATGTATTTTATGGTCAAACATTTTAAAAGTTATTTAAAAATTAAAATTTTACGTTTTTTTTGCCCCCCCCCCTCCCCCAACTCCTTTTTTCCCCCGGGGTTGCCCTCTCTTGGGGCCTTCAAAAGGTTTAAAAAAAACCTTTGGCCCCTTTAGAGAAAGAAAATTAAAAATCCACCGTTTTTTTCAAAATTTAATTTTTAAAAAAAAAACCCAACCCAAATTTGGGGTTAGCCCTACACAAAAAACAAAGGGGGGGGGGGGGGGGGGGGGGGGGGGGGGAAAAAAAAAAAAAAAAAAAAAAAAAAAAAAAAAAAAAAAAAAAAAAATTTTTTTTAAAATTTTAAAAAAAGGAAATTTCTAAAACACCATTGGGAAAAATTGTTAAAAAAACCTTTGCCCGAGGTTTTTTTTTGGCAAGGCGGGGTTTTACCCAACAAATTCCCCCAAAAAACCCACCAAAAACAAATTCCCCCCTTTTTTTTTTTTAAAAAAAGGGGCCCTCCCCTCATAAGTTTTAAAACCCTTTGGGGGGGGTTTTTTTTTTCGAAAAGGGGGGTTAAATTTCAAAAATTTTTGTACCCCAAAAATTTTCCCGGCCCCCCGGGCCAATATAGCCAAAAACAAAAATTTTTCAAATTTTTTAACCCCCAACCCCTAGTTTGGGAGACCCCCCCTTTTTTCAGGACGTTCCCTTAAATTTTTTTCCCAAAAAAATTTAAAAATCCGGGCTATTTTTGGGGTTTGTTTTTTAAGGGTTCCCTTTTAAAAAAAATTTTTTTAAAAATTTACGTTTTTTTTCCCCCCAAAAACCGGGGGGCGGGCCACCTCCATAAAATTGGTTTTTTTGGCGGGAGCCCCATTTTTGGGAAAAAATTGGTAAACCTTTTCCCCCAAGGGTTTATTTTGGGGGTGGTGGGTTTCCAATCAATTAAAAAAAAATTTTTTCCCTAATTTAAAGAAACCCCCCCAGGATTCAAATTTTTGGAATTTTTAAGAAAAGAAAAGAGTCGCCTAAAAATACCCTCCCCGTTGGCCCCAAAAAAAAAATAAAATTTTAATTTCCCCCAACCCACAACGCTAAGCTGCCCCCTAATAATTTTTTAATAAAACCACCGGTTTCCCCCCCAAACCAATTTTTTGGGCATTTTAAAATTAAAAAACAAATAAAATCGGGCCCATTTGGTTTGTTTGGGCCCCCCCCATGGAAATCCTCCCCCAACCTAGTTTTTTACTTCCCCAACCCCAAAATTGTTTTTTCCGGGGAAAGTACGTCCTTTTCCCTAAAAAAAAGGACCAAAAAAACAAAAATTTTCTAAAACCCGTTAACACAAATTGGAAAAATTTTGCAACCCAAAAAGAAAAAAACCCAAAAACACGAAAAAAGAACGCCCAAACCCAAAATTTTTTAGGTTTTGAAAAAAAAAAACAAAAAAACCCCAAAAAAAAAACCAAAAACCCCACCCAACCAACCCCCCAACAAACAAAACAAAAAATTTAACACCCAAAAAGGCCCAGGGGTTTTGGTTTGCCCTTTAAAAAAACCCCCAAGACACAAAACTTTCGTTAATGTAGACGCGCGTTGTTGAAAAATTGTACCAAGAAGGATGAAAGATGAAGCAAGTTGAATACCATTGGTGGGCTATAAATAGATATTGGCGCAATTGCCTCTACTGATAACTATAGCTACTCATCCACTGTTTTGCTAAATAGGAAACAATATATATAAACCATACCAATGTATTATTGTATTTGCAATAGCGAACACGTATGTAATACAAGACAAATTAAAGGACATAGTAATTACAGGATTATTGAGCTACTTAAAAAATATTACAGATAGTAGCAAGTGTTGAGTCGCAGCATCCTCTGGTGGTTAACTCACATACTGAAGGATCAATGGCTCTAGTGGTGCCATCAGTGCAGACAAATTATGAAATGAACTGGTCCAAAAGAGCTATTTAAACTATCACACAATTGATACAGTCATTTTAAAATGTACGTTATTTAAAACAGACAAAACACATTTAATTACAGTATATATACACAATTCTACATCAAAATTATTAATTAGAAACTGCAAATGATCATAAGACAACCTTATGTAATTTAGTCAATTATAAAGACTATGACACCCCTTGCTCAGTACATTTTCACAACTCAAGAGGTAGGCAGTCTGTGTCCTATTGGCATATGATGTAACAATTGGTAACTTCACTCAGTGGCACAGGTTTCCTCCTTACCTGGTCCCTCTATGCAATAACTCTTCAAGGGATGAGTAAAGACCTCTTTGGGCACAACGGTGGGGATAAAACCTTTAGGATACAGTAATCAGTACAGATGCATTCTGGCTCACTAGATACAGGACTATTAGGCAAGCTGCTATCACGGCTGAGTGTTAAGTCCTCACATCCAGAGTCACCCTCGCAGGCGACCGAAGGGTCCCGAGAGAGAGAGGTGACTATATCTCCAAACTGGAGCTCTAGGGGAGAGCAGGGAAGCTGGGTGTAAGGGATGTCCCCTGGACCATTTCCATTTGGACTGTGACTGCAGACCCAGTCCATCACTGAGGGACCAACATAGGGAGTTTGACCTTGTGAAAGAGGATATGGTGTTGTAGTTGAACAGTCCTGGTCCTCTGCTATAGGTTTGGCATCAATAATCAAAGTATCGATGGTCAGGAACTCTTGTGTCTTGTACGTTTGTATCAGATTGCACTCTGACGCAAGCCAGTCCTATAGAGAAAAAATGATTCAGATATGAACTGTAACCCAGGGACCATTTTGAAGATGTTATGAGGACCATAGGGCGGCACACAATTGGCCCAGCGTCGTCCGGGTTTGGCCGGTGTAGGCCGTCATTGTAAATAAGAATTTGTTCTTAACTGACTTGCCTAGTTAAATAAAGGTAAAATATTTGTATTTTTTTTAATCAATCTTTGTACATAGGCTGGAAAAAGGGGGCTGGGCTTGGCACATCATAGAAAGCTTTTATCTTCATTCTATGGCACAAATGATTATAAATGATTTGTGTTTGTGTGCTTCCAAATCAGACTTGCTCTCTCATGACACAATTTAAAGTATTTTTATGGGTTTCTGAAGAAGACCAGTTACCTTGTGGTGGGGTTGTAAAATACAAACAACAGAACTCCAGCAATCACACAAACTGGAAATACAAACTGGCTGAGGACAAGGACTATAGTTGGTTCTGCTGAAGGAGAGAAATAGTATATGCATCAATGGCTGTGTTTAGACAGGCAACCCAATTCTGATATTTTTTTCACTAATTGTTCTTTGACCAATCAGATAAACTCTGAAAAATATCTGATGTGAAAAGAACTGATGTGATTGGTCAACAGACCAATTAGTGGAAAAAATATCAGAACTGGGCTGCCTGTCTAAACGCAGCCTAAATGGTTTCTCTATAGCATATTTTGGAACAATAACAAAAAGGAGATAGGTAAGAGTGGTATATGATTTAACTAGTCTGTCTCCAAAGCAGATCTCTCTCCCCTTCCTTTGCATCAGTCCTCAATTGCACTAATGCACTCCACGGACTCCACTTTCCTTTATATTCAGAGGAGTTTGGATCGGATCTCACTTTCAGAACATATGTGGTATCTGGCTCATGTCCAGATCCATCAATTAAAAGAGAGTTGTTTCGAGAGGACACATGGAAAACCTGAGAAAGAAATCCAGAAAACAATTTAGCTAACAACCATTGACTTTAATAAGACATTGAAGCATGACTTTTATTACAATGCACTTTACCTCATCCTTATCACCATGGTATTTGTAGAAGGAGCGTTGGTAATGGAAATCTGTCATGTATGCATGGTGTTCATATCCACTCTGCCAAGTGTAACTGTAGCCCTCTGGAGTCCACTGGACAGCGAGATGACTTGGAGCTGTTGGTTGAACTGATGACATAGAGTTAGTCATTGCACATATTTGTCAGCTATAGAAAAACATATTTTGCACAATCATATTTATTTCATGCAATTTTCCATGCATTGCAAATCAATATAGTCTTCAAAGGGAACTTACTATTTTTGGATGGTTCAAAGTCTGTCAAGTTGTCATAGTTTGATTGGCAGTCAATGTTATAACAAAGATGTACATGGAAACAGTCCATGTTATTAAATGAAGAGCCGTGATACGTTAAATTTTTATCAAAATGTGCCACAAATGTGCAACCATAACTGTCCACCATCTCCACCAGTGGACATTTGAATGTAATCCTGTGGGGGAAAATAATATGATTTTTGTGATTCAAATTATATGGGAAATTATTTATCCTCAGCATGTGCACATTATTTATTTTTTAATTTAATGTTGCGTGTTCATCTCTCCACTCCATGCAATGGATAGAACCAGGAGATTCATAACATAAGAATGCATCATCATCACCCATCTTCATCAGACCAGGTGAAATTCAACCAGTAGTGCGTGTAGTTGACACCTGCAGGCTCGTCAGTGATGCTCAAAGTACAGGTAACCTTCTTCATGCCTCTCTGTGACAGAGTTGATTACTATCTAAATGCTCAAATTAACCGATCATAATATTTTAATGAACATACAGTACCAGTCAAAAGTTTGGACACACCTACTCATTCAAGGGTTTTTCTTTATTTTTACTATTTTCTACATTGTAGAATAATAGTGAAGATATCAAGACTTTGAAATAACACATATGGAATCATGTAGTAACCAAAAAAGTGTTAAACAAATCAAAATATATTTTAGATTTGAGATTCTTCAAAGTAGCCACCCTTTGCCTTGATGACAGCTTTGCACACTCTTGGCATTCTCTCAACCACCTTCATGAAGTAGTCACCTGGAATGCATTTCAATTAACAGATGTGCCTTGTTAAAAGTTAATTTGTGGAATTTCTTTCCTTCTTAATGCGTTTGAGCCAATCAGTTGTGTTGTGACATTGTAGGGATGGGATAAAGAAGATAGCCCTATTTGGTAAAAGACCAAGTCCATATTATGGCAAGAACAGCTCAAATAAGCAAAGAGAAATGACAGTCCCATCATGACTTTAAGACATGAAGGTCAGTCAATCCGGAAAGTGTCAAGTGCAGTCGCAAAAACTATGAAGCGCTATGATGAAACTGGCTCTCATGAGGACCGCCACAGGAAAGGAAGACCCAGAGATACCTCTGCTGCAGAGGATAAGTTCATTAGAGTTAACAGCCTCAGAAATTGCAGCCCAAATAAATGATTCACAGAGTTCAAGTAACAGACACATCTCAACATCAACTGTTCAGAGGAGACTGTGTGAATCAGGCCTTCATGGTCGAATTGCTGCAAAGAAACCACTACTAAAGGACACCAATAATAAGAAGAGACTTGCTTGGGCCAAGAAACACGAGCAATGGACATTAGAACGGTGGAAATCTGTCCTTTGGTCTGATGAGTCCAAATTTGAGATTTTTGGTTCCAACCCCCCGTGTCTTTGTGAGACGCAGAGTAGGTGAACAGATGATCTCTGCATGTGTGGTTCCCACCGTGAAGCATGGAGGAGGAGGTGTGATGGTATGGGGGTGCTTTGCTGGTGACGCTGTCTGTGATTTATTTAGAATTCAAGGCACACTTAACCAGCATGGCTACCACAGCATTCTGCAGCGATACGCCATCCCATCTGGTTTGGGCTTAGTGAGACTATCATTTGTTTTTCAACAGGACAATGACCCAACACACCTCCAGGCTGTGTAATGGCTATTTTACAAAGAAGGAGAGTGATGGAGTGCTGCATCAGATGACCTGGCCTCCACAATCAACCGACCTCAACCCAATTGAGATGGTTTGGGATGAGTTGGACCGCAGAGTTAAGGAAAAGCAGCCAACAAGTGCTCATTATATGTGGGAACTCCTTCAAGACTGTTGGAAAAGCATTCCAGGTGAAGCTGGTTGAGAGAATGCCAAGAGTGTGCAAAGCTGTCATCAAGGCAAAGGGTGGCTACTTTGAAGAATATAAAATATAAAATATGTTTTGATTTGTTTAACACTTTTTTGATTACTACATGATTCCATATGTGTTATTTCATAGTTTTGATGTCTTCACTATTATTCTACAATGTAGAAAATAGTAAAAATAAAGAGAAACCCTTGAATGAATAGGTGTGTCCAAACTTTTGACTGGTACTATATGTATAATATTTTCTATTTCACACTACACTCTTGCAATAAAAAAAGGTGATTTGTGTTGGTGTATAAGTCATATTCAAGCATCATGAATAGGATGAACTAAGCTATAGTTTATTATAATATTCCTGAAATTCATATAATAAATTATTTATCATACTCTTCAGTGCAGTCAAATCAATCTCAGTCTCACCCTTCTCAGAGATTGTTAATAAAAACTAAACAGTGGTTTAACTCATTGTGATAACAGTCCAATTGCAATATCCAAATGACAGAATCTGATACCTAGAGTGGCGAGTCAATTTATCAGATGTAGCCTACCGCTGCCAAGCTTTTAGTTTAAAGTCACGCGTAGCTATAATTTCTTATCAGCAAATGAGAATGGCAAAGAGAAATGGTCTATTTAGTTTGCATACATTGACAATACTGCATTAAAGCAGACCTAAATCTGTTTTCTGATGCATTTATGTATCGTATAGAAAAAGGAGACTAATATCTGAATGTTGGAATGCTCCCATAACCTAATAATAATTATTTGACCACTATGGGACTTCATCATGCATATGAGAAGAAATAGTGGGCAATTCTCAGTTGAAACAAAAACAAAGCGGTCACCAGCCTCTGTTTTGGTAAAAGCTGAGGGATGGGCCTGGAGAAATGTAACCACTCATAAATTCATAGACAGCGCTATTGATGCAAGGAATGACCATCCAATAAATACAAATAATAGTTTTAAGCATATTTAGAGGCTATACAGTTTTTGTTTCCACTTACAATGTTTACAAACATTGGAACAAAACAAGCTTATATTTTGGGTTCTGATGGGGTTGAACTAAGCTCATGAGGCTTTTAAAAGTTATATTCTTCATTAATAATGAGTTTATATAATAAATGTATAAGTCAAAAAATTGATGTAGCATCTGCGGATTGTCCCTTTAAAGATTTAACAAGCGATTGAAAATGAATGCAAACTCCACAATGGATCCATTGTCACATACATAAGAAACATTAGATGCACAACTAACATGATATAAAAACAAAACCCTTTCTACATGGAAATTGCATGAGAAATGAAGCCGTATAAAATAATGAATTACATGAAGGCCAAAACTTCACAACTATTGTCAGACAATATTATTGTATTACCATGACAAATAATCTTTATGTTGGGAAGAAATCATTCATACTCCACTTTTTTTTAAAACATGATGACAATATGAACAATATACCTATGCCAGGGAGAGTAAGGCATTTTACAAATATGCTGAAGCACTGTCAGTGACAGAGGAGATGAGGGAGAACTCACATTGTCCTGTTCTGTCCTGAGTTGGTTGGGTCCTCTTGCATAGTGTTACCTGTCATCCACTGTTTGACATATTCAGAAGGGGAACTGCCTACCCCACACAGTAAAGCAGAGTCTATCTGCTCCTCAGAATCAAAGTTAGTGTTCACAGGACTGCTACAGTCAGACTCAACAAAGACTCCACTGTCAATGGTGTCCACACTGTCCAGATCCAGCATCATGGGAGGGTAGCCGTCCTCTGAGACCAATGAAATCTGCTCTGGTTGATTGTTGCGGGCCTGTAGCTGGAGCTGCCACTCCATAGCAGGCAGGCCCGTTGATGCCCGTCTTCCACTCTCCCCACATAACCCTCCTTCCTCTTCTGCCCCAGCACCAAGAGGGCCCTCCACCTCACTGTCCATACCTCCTCTGCTCCCTCCAGTATATTGGGAGAAGCTTCCCCCACCTTGGCTGCACTTGTAGGTCTCCCAAGAACTCCCTGACAAAGCTCCTTCCTCCCCAGACACCATCACAGTATCGATGGAGATGTGTCCAGCGGAGTGACAGGTGCCCTGGTCCCCACTGCTGCTGCTGTCTTCCTCCACGCTCAGCCTGGACAGCCCGAGGATGTCTAGCTGCTTCTCAGTCATCATCTGTGTAGATGGGTTTTTCTCCAAGGGATCCAGCTCACTGAAGATGAAGACAGGTCCAACCCATTTCTGCAAAATATAATGATAAAATGGATGATTAAGTACATTTGAGGTGAAAGGTAGGCCCGCCCTGTCCAGAAACAAACCCTTGCCTCTATAGGATCATTCAGTATGCCATTTACATTACATTACATTTTAGTCATTTAGCAGACGCTCTTATCCAGAGCGACTTACAGTTAGTGAGTGCATACATTTTTCATACTGGCCCCCCGTGGGAAACGAACCCACAACCCTGGCGTTGCAAGCGCCATGCTCTACCAACTGAGCTACAGGGGACTTAGCAGACGCTTTTATCCAAAGTGACTTAGTCATACATGCTTACATTTTTCACGTATTGGTGGTCCCGGGAATCGAACCCACTATCCTGGTGTTGCAAGTGCCATGCTCCACCAACTGAGCTACACTTGAATGTAAAAGGTTGAATGAGAGCTTATCTCTGTTATTGGTAGCAGGTCATGGTAACTTCGGTTGTCAATATGAAAATCGATCACAGAAAGAATTACCTTATATATGTTTTATTTATTTTTGTTTACATTTAGTGAACATTTAGAAATGGTTATGCAACTGATGGCAGTTATTTTGCACAACTCTGAACCCTTCTAGAGCAAGATGTTGTCCACAGATATGCATGGTCAAGCTTTTGCATGAGAATACCTTATCTGGGTGAAGAGCAATTCAGCAGAATCCAATCACTGTTTTTCATTTGAAAAGACAGCAGTAAGTGGCCATACTGCACCACTAACAGCTGTCAGAGAGCTAAAGAGAGAGGGCATTTTAAAAACATCTACCTGACTGTGCTTATCATATATTGACAAAATGCTTTCTTTAGCTGTGAGGTCATTTTTATACTATATTACATTTACATTTACGTAATTTAGCAGACGCTCTTATCCAGAGCGACTTACAAATTGGTGCATTCACCTTATAGCCAGTGGGAAAACCACTTTACAATGGGTTAGGGTTAGGGTTAGGGTTAGGGTTAGGGTTAGGGTTAGGGTAAGGGGGGTCAGAAGGATTACTTTATCCTATCCCAGGTATTCCTTAAAGAGGTGGGGTTTCAAGTGTCTCCGGAAGGTGGTGAGTGACTCCGCTGTCCTGATCAGGGACTTGCTTTATGTGTGTTCATCACTGACATTGAGCTTATGCTATAAGACAGCATAGTTAGTACAGCTATGTCATGCTCCTCAACTATAACCAAACCCTGTGGACATCCTTATAACTATGATCTTCTCACAGAACATCTGTGCAGTTCAGAAAAATGTATACTGCTGAGTGAAAGGGCAACCTAAAGTACATCCTTTATATAAAAAAAAAGATTTGTTTAGGTTTACATTAGGTTGAGCAGATATACGATCGGATGTGTCT